CTCACTCCCTGCGAGACATTACTGACAATGAGCTTGCTAGAGCTATGCTGATGCAGCCAGGGCTCTGGAGCCAGAGGAGCCACACGGTGACCCCTGCCAGCACTGAGATGTTTCTACCACTGTAGGATCCACAAGACTTTCCATCCACTGGCTTGTGATCTTCCTGCATTTGGCATCATTGCATGTGTTACGTGAGTCTGAAGAGGACCTTACAGATTGGCATCAGACATTTGGGCTAATATCAGACTTATGGACTTGATCTGGACTGGGCTGGGATATTTTCTGAATATTCACTTGAATGAATGAATTTGCTTCTTTCACAGCCATTTTCATCAGCCCCCAAAAGAAACCCTGCTCCTGCTGGCAGTCATTCTCCATCCCCCACTATTAGTGGTCACTGTCCATTTTTCTCCTCCCCATCACCCCCTCCCCAAGTCCTGGAAAACAACTACTACCTGTGTCTCTAGCTTTCCCTCTTCTAGACATTTATAAGGACACACACACACACACACACACACACACACACACACCCCTGCTAATCACAAGGCTGGCGGTTCCACCAGCCTCTCTGTGGGAGAAAGCCCCGACACTGGTTCTGTAAAGATTGGTGGCCTTGGGAACATGGGGGCCTGTTCTACTCAATCCTATGAGGTTAGTGCGAGTTGGAATGGACAGTGGGTTTGGTTTTGGCTTAAGGACATTTGGTGGAAATGGAAGCATTACCTGAGGGTAAAATAAAAAGTTTGCTACAAAGTCCTGTGGTTGGTAGGTGTCATCGAGTCGGTCCTGGACCATAGCAACCCTCTGCACAATGGAAGGAAACACTGCCTGGTCCCGCACAGTCCTCACCACTGCTGTTATGTTTTGAGCCCAGTGTGGGGGCCCACTGTGTCCATCCTTCTTGTTGAAGGTCTTCCTCTTTTTTGTTGACCTCCTATTTTACCAAACTGGTCATCGTCATTCTGATGAGGAGAAAACAGCTTCTCAGCACATGTCTCACCAGATGTATTCAGTCTGTAAGCTGAGCGGATTACCAGAGAAGCTGGAGTATATGAAGAAGAACATGGCACAGGGCTTGGAGGAAGGCTTATTAACAACCTACAACATGCAGATGACCCAGCCTTGTATGCTACAGGTGAGGAGGACCTGAAGCACTTGCTGATCAAGGACTTCAGCCTCCAGTGTGGGCTATGGCTCCATGTAAGGAAGACCAAACTCCTCACACCTGGACCCATAGGTAACATCATGATCAATGTAGAAAAGATGGACGTGGTCAAGGATTTCATCTTGCTTGGATCCACAGTCAGTGCTCCTGGAGACAGCAGTGAAGAGCCCAAACAAGGCATTACACTGGGCAAACCTGCTGCACAAGACCTCTGTCTTGGGCTACTCTGAGATTTAATGTGTGCCTGACCCAAGCCAAGGTGTTTCCCATTGCCTCATCTGCATGTGAAAGTTGGACATTGAATAAGGAAGACTGAGAAGAGTCCATGCATTTGAGTGATGGTGCTGACGAAGAATATTGAAAGTACTGTCGAGGAACAAACAGATCTCTCTTGGAAGAATGCCAGCCAGCATGCTTAGAGGCAAGGATGGCGAGACTGGATCTCACGAGACTGGATCTCACGGACTGTGGACCTGTTGTCAGGAGAGACCAGTCCCTGGAGAAGGACATCATGTGTGGTAAAGTGGAGGGGCCACGACAAGGAGGCAGGCCCTGGACAAGATGGATCGACAGAGTGGGTTCAAACAAGAACAATCCTGAGGGTGCCGCAGGACCGGGCAGTGTCTCATGCACAGGGTCGCCGTGAGTTTGCACCGACTGGATGGCACCTAGCCACAGCGACACGTATGAACGTGTCTGACTTCCCATCATCTACGGCCTTTTTGATCTGGCTTCTCTTCCTGAGGATCATATTGTCAACCTCAGTCCCAATCATATTGGGCCGACCAGTCCTTTTCAGGAACGAAAGAAAGAAAAAGATGACCCAGTGCCCCCATGGCAATGGCAAGCTTTGGTACTAGAGCCCACAATCCAGGATAAAGTGTAGGTATCTCTTGGGCAGCCCCCCTGGGTGGTTCTAGGGCCTGTCAGCGAATGGTATTGCCTACTTTGGGACACTGCCTTACATCAGAGATGAGAAGGCACGGAGAGAGGAAGGCTAGATGAACGAAAACAGTACAACCAGAAGAGACCTCATGAGAATGTTGACAAGTTGTGAAGTGTAAACAATCTCACTGAATAATGTGTATCCAAAACCAAACTCTAACCCACTGCCATCAAGCAGATACTGGACCCACAGTGACCACGGCCAAGAGCCGGACTGCTCCGTCGGGCTCCTGAGGGCAGTCCCCCACCCACCAAGTTCAGTTGTCTTCTATTAGTAACACTAGTCACAGTGCCTGCCCATGGGTCAAGCACATCTTACTCCTCAAAGTAACACCCTTTTTCATTTTCTCCTAACAGCTTTATTGGCACATAATTTACATATCATCCAATTCAATCATTCAATACTTCAATCACATCAAGGAGAGTTGTACAATCATTACCACATCAATTTTAGAACATTCACCCCACCATGGTTAAATAGCCTTTAAAATGAGTTGTGCAATCACAATCAGTTCTAGTGCTCCCTCCCCCCTCCCACCTTTATTATTCCTGAAATCCCCTTTCCTGCCTAGCATCTACCTCCAACCCCTAGGTCCCCTATCAACCTTTGTGTCAGTTATTATCACTATGCATCCACTCCTCCTGTGGGTCACAAACTGGGACCCCCACAGAAACAATAAAAAAACAACATTGAAATAAGGTGGTAAGGCTAAAGTAATAATATCAAGACAAAATACAAATAGTGAGTAAGAAAGAAAAGACTCCTGTGTTAGGAAGGGTTCTGCATAGATATGTTCTATATAGATATGTTTGTATAGTGAGAAGGAATACAACAGCCAATTTGTCCACACAGCAGTACAGAGGGTTCAGTTCAACTCACTTCCATGGAACAATTAGTATACTGGAAGTTCTCCAATTCACATGGGCTGCCAGGTCCAAGATCAAGGAAGCAGACAGCAGAGTCCTCTTTGGGCCAAGGCAAGCAGAGTCAGGTGAGTCACCAACAGTCCGTAGCTCAGGAGCTTAGGGACGTGGGCCCAGATGGGATATCAAACACAAGCAATGCAAAGTGATAGAATCCACCAGCCTCAAGTTCAAGCAATGTACACACCAGCAATGTGGTGAAGCAGGTCTTGAAGGAGCCTCAACTCTAGTGACAGGATGCCCGGGTTGGCCTGGCCCACAGATAGTGTGGCTCACAGGTTGAGGCAGAGAACTAGCTACAGCAGCAGCACCCGTGTTCCAGCACGCTCCAATCACCAGAGATCAAGAGAGAGGGGGTGGGCATTGCAGAGCCATTTATCTCTTTGCCCTCCAATCAAACTTCAACCTGGTTAATCCCACATGTTCCTATTGGCCAGATTGTCACAATAGACCTACCTGTCACAACTCCCATCAACATTCAAAAGTCCAAGGAAGAAATTTCTGTCATGGAACAAGTCAAAGATACTTGAATTCAGAACAAGTTCAGGTCTGGTTTATAGGGAGATCAACTGGCCAAGTGTCAAGTCTGATCCAGCATAATCAAGATTACAATGGTCTCTACCTGATAGTAAGGCTGCTTGAGACTCTTGCCTGTGGCCAGAGGGGATCTTCCAGCAGCTGGATCTGTCTGACTAGATACTCTGCAGAAGAGTTTTGGGCTCCCACTGTTCTACCTAGCCTTCTACAAATTGCATGTTTATAATTTTTGCTCTGATACTTTTTCCTTCGCCATGTTCGAATTTTGTGATTGTTATTTTTGGGTCACACCAGCTGTGCTTCTTCCATGTGGACTTAGTTGACTCCTCGCTTAGATGGCTGCTTGTTTGAATGCAAACCTTTAAGACCCCAGACACTATTCTGATCGTTAGCCAGGCACCGTCTGCTTTCTTCACCACACTTTGCCGTAACACCCTTATCTTCAACGATCCTTTCATGAAGGTAAGTACCGAGCAGGGTCATATTATCAGAACGAACTGTTCTTGAATTGGGTTAGAGTTAAGTCGGAGCCAAGACTCCATCTGCTTGTCCTTGGGGTTTGCATGTCTCAGGTGTACTTCGGCGGTTGTAATTTGACAAAATCAATACCCTGTAAGACCAAATGCATCAATAGCAGCCATAAACCAAACAGCAGACACACACACACACACACACACACACACACACACACACACACACAAAGAGAGAGAAAGAGAGAGAGAGAGAGAGAGAGAGAGAGAGAGAAAGCTGCAAGCAGGAAAGCAAAAATCCTCATAAAGAAGTACAGCATTGTCACTCACCGCTCTGGGGTATAAGTTGATTACACTATTATCATCATCCATTTTCCCAGTAACTCAGCACTTCAGACACTGTCAGTATGAGGAGTCTATGCAAGCACAGTGCCACCTTGAGCCGCAAGTGAGCTTTGGTCCTATACCATTTGACCTCTCATTCGACTGGGGACCCTACGTTGACCCTAAGTATGGGGACTGGTGCTAGGGGGGGACTTTCCTGGATTAATTCTTCCAGGTGCAGACCCCTGCTCAATGGATCCCAACCTATATGGTGATCCTGGGTCCCTTTTCATTGGACACCACTGAGCTGGGGGTTCCCCCCCAAGGCCCAGTGACCGCCACTTCCACATTCCTGGGATGGCCACTCTACTTCTCCCATCCAAGTACCCCAGCCCTCAGTTCACAGGTACAGGCAGCTTCGAGGTGAGGTTCTGTCTTGTGTAGCCCCTCTCTTGTGCCATGCTGCCTGGCAGGTCAGCTTCTATGATCCTCATTGTGCTGAGTTCATGGTGTGGTTCATGAGGGTTGGGTAGAAAAGAATTCGTCGTGCCTTCCTAGAAACCTAAAATCGGGCCCGTTAGCCCCCTAGGTGCCCCCACACTCATGGGTTAGCATCCCTTCCCGCCATCACTCACCATGCTCGTCAACAGAAGGATCAGCGTGCCCTCCACCATGTCGATGGCCCCATCTCCTGGTCTTGCTTGAATTTCCGGAGAGCTTTTTCTTCCATTCCTATGGGGGTGGGGTGGGGGGTGAGGTGCAGTCTTTACGGAAGCCGACAGCCTTACCTTTCTCCCGAGGAAGATCTGTTCAGAGCTTGTTAAATGAGAACCAGATCGGCCACATAAACATTCTCCACACACAGAAACTGTTCATTAAAAAACCATTAACACCCACAATCTGGGCTTCGAGGGGAGATTCTGTGGTGCTTAGAAACCCTGCCCATGGCTGCGTTCATCCAGAGCGGTGCTTCTCCCCTGGGGACCAACTCGCCCTCGGGGAGCCCTGGACAATATCTGGAGATAGTTTTTACAATCACAACTAGCAGGCCGGGTGGGGGTTACTGGCCTCTAGTGGGTACAGGCCGGGGGTGCAGCTAACCATTGTCAAGGCAGAGGGCAGCTCCAAATCTAAACAGCGCAGCACCTGGGAAACATGGATCTAGATGACATGGAGGAGGGACGCTTCCCTCTGCCGGGAAATCACCCGTCCTTGGAGCCTGTTGACAATCTCCAGTTCCGCCCTCGCAGTGCCACGTTCCCTGAGCTACCTGAAGAAACCCACTCCGCCAGCTTCTTACCATCACCCCAAACTGGGAGCACCCCTCTGGCCCCTTAAGGGGCCATGGATAAATGGAGCGGTATCCCCCTGTGCAGTGCTCACAGCTCCTCCTGGATTTGATTGGCTCCTCTGTAGAATGGGGTCTCTTGGAGGTGGTACTAGGCAGACTCCAGGAATCTCCAGGTCACTGCTGCTTTATGACTCAGGAACAGAACCACCTGCGACTCATGCCCCGTGACTCTGGGATTATGTGCTCAGCGCCTCTGGGCTTTTGCCAACAGGAGGTTGCCCCGGAATTCCTCCTGCAAGAATCCAGGGTGGGGCCCCTGATGAGTCATCCTGGCCAGTGGAGCCTCAGTCCAGGTCTGGTGATTTGCAAAGTAGCTTCCATTTATTTCCTGGCAGCTGCCACGCCTGTTCCACAAGGTCTCCCTGGCTCAGACCCGGCCAACAGAGGGTTCCCAACACTTCTCCCAAGCCCCTTCCAGAACGTCAGCCCATACTTCTCCCTTTGTGGTCAGTACATTTTACAGACCGTGAGTCTGTTCTCACTTGGCTGCAATGGCCATGACCCTGAACTAGTTCAAAGTCCTGCACCTCATGATTTCTGTATGGGAGGAACACATTCTCCTCTCCTGTTTCCACTCCACAGAAGAGGATCCTGAGGGCCAGACAGGACAGTGACACACAGAATGCAGGGAGATCACAGGCCAGTGGGTGGGAAGTCTTGTGGATCCAGTGGCGATAGAGGCATCTCAACGCTGGCAGGGGTCTCCACGTGACTTCTCCAGCTGAGGGCCCTAGTGGAGCTCCATGTGTCTTGTCAGCTGCAATGTCTCCCAGGGAGTGAGCAGAGACAGAGAGTGTCTCCCGTCTCCAAGGAGGAAGACAGGAGTTCCCAGAATCCTCAGGAGAAGGCCACGCCCACACAGAGGTCTCATTAGCTCTGACCTGATTGACAGGCTAGACTTCACCCCTTCACTCTTAATCCTCTCAAATTGACAAACGATGATGTAACTACCACAATGGCTTTCTCCAGGGATGGGTCCCTTGGGATAAAATGGGTCTCTCCAGATAACTTGCTATCCTTGCTTCTAAGGAGCCTTCTGGCTGTACTTCTTCCAGGACAAATTGGTCTGTGCTTCTGGCGGACCGTGGTGCTTCCAGTCCTCTGTGCCAGCCCCACAACGTGAATGCATCACTACTTCTGCGGTCTTTCTTATTCCTTGTCCAGCTTTCTGCATCGGAAGCACAGGAGACATCGTTACTTGAGTCTCTGCTACAGTATTGAAACTCTATCTCACCAATGGCAAGTGATTGGTTGAGTGACTGATGAGAGAAGGAGCCTTTAGATCCAGGCCTGTATACATATACTACTGTAATTGGACCCAGATGGAAAGAAGATCAAAGTGCATTAGAAATATTCCGAGCCCAGGATCCAGCTCTAATCCTGGCCCTTCCACTAGCGTGCTGTGTCCCTTCAGATAACAATCTGTGTCCTCTCTGGACCCCACATTCCTTTGCCATCGGCCAGGCTGGCACGTTCTTGAACCTATGAAATTTAACATCTACACAACTGTCAGTCTGTCCTACTGTGCTGGCTTCCATGTGGTCGGGATTCTGGAAGGGATGCCACAAGCATTTCAAACAACCAGCAGGGACACCTGTGGTGAGTGAGTTTCAACAGAGCTTCCAGACTAAGTCAGACAGATGAACTCACTCTCTGTGGGTTTCGGAGGCTGTAACTGTTTACGGGAGTAGAAAGCCCAGTCCTTCACCCTCAGACAGACCAGGAGTGGGAACCTGCTTTCAGAAGGACTGACCAGTGACAACTGTGTGAATAGCTGTGTATGAAACGAAATGGAATGCTTGGAAATGGACAATCCTAGGTGTTCGTGAGCTGCAGTGGACTGACATTGGCCATTTTGAATAAGGCTATTATAGGGTCTACTCTGTTGGAAATGACAAGTTGAAGAGGAATGAAATCACATTTATTGCCAGAACATTTCAAGATTGATCCGAAGGTACAACACAGGATACTACCCATATACCTACAGGGAAGGCCAGTTTTTATTACTCTTATTCAGATCTATGTACCAACTGCTGATGCCAAAAATGGATCGAAGATTTTTTAAATCAACTTCCGCACACTGAAATGGATCAAGCACACAATCAAGATGCATTGATAACTACTGGCGATTGGAATGTGAAAATTGGAGGGGAAAAAAGGATCAACAGTTGGAATATATATTCTTGGTGATGGAAATGGTGGCGATTGCATGAGATAATTTTGCAAAACCTAGGACTTATTCGTTGGAAGTACCTTTCCTTAACATACGTGGCAACCCTATACACAGACCTCACCAGATGGAATATTAAACTC